CGTTCCGCGGCGGCCCGGGCCGCGAGCTCGGCGTCCTGGGCCGCGAGCTCGGGCGTCGTCGCGTCGGCGAGGCGTTCGATGCCCGACGCGACGACGGCGTCGCTGCCCCGCAGGGCGTCGACGCCGCCGAGCGCGTCGGCCTCGAGCCCGCCGACCCGGCCGTCGAAGCGCGCGTCGCGCGCGCCGGGCTGCCGCCGGAGCTGCCGCAGCCGCGCGGCCGCCGCCTGCTCCCAGAGGGACTTGTCCGCGGCGACCGCCGCGAGCGCGTCGTCCGCGTTCGCCGCGCCGGCCGCGGCGGTCGCCGCGGCGAGCGCGTCCTCGGAGACGATCTGCGGCGGCTGCCGCGGGAGCTGCTCCGGCGCCGCGAGCTGCTGCTGCTGCGGGAGCTGCTGCTCGGCCTGCTCGGCCTGCTCGGCCTGCTCGGCCTGCTGGAGCTGCTCCGGCGCCGCCGGCGCGTCCGCGAGCTGCTGCTGCGGGAGCTGCTCCGGCGCCGCCGGCGCGGCCGCGAGCTGCTGCCCGGCCGCCGGGTCGGCGGCCGCGGCGGCGGGGCCGACGTAGCGGAGGAGCGCGCCGAGGGCGTCGCCCCCGCCGCCCGGCGGCGGCGGCGGCGGCGGCGCGGCCGCGACCGCGTCCGGGTCGAAGTCCGGCGGCGCGCCGGCCGCGCGGCGGAGCGCGCGGATGGACTGGCCGCCGTTCGCGCGCCACGCCGCCGTGGCCTCGATGGCCATCCAGATGGCCCGCGGCGCCTCGGCGGGGCGCCGCAGGCCGCGCGTCCGGGCGGCGAAGCGCGCCGCGCCCTTGGCCGGCGGCGCGCCGCAGACCTCGACGGCGTCCGCCGTCTCCTTGAGGTTCATGCCCACGTCGACGCCCGCGGCGCGCGCCTTGACGATGGACTTGAGGCTCGCGTGCTGCGCGTCGTTGAGGTCGCTCTCGTCGAGGCCGCCGCCGTACTCGTCGACGCTCGAGTTGGGCATCCAGCACGTCGCGTCGGCCTCGCCGCGCGCGACGTCGTTGCACCAGTGGCTCGACGTGGGCGTCTCGAACAGGCCGAACATGGCGAGGACGGCGTCGCCGGCGGCCAGCTTGGCGAGCATGCGGAGCATGTAGCGGCGGCCGCGGCCGCAGTAGAGGAAGCCCGACAGCCGCACGGCCACGACGACCTCGTCGCCGAGGCCGCCGGGCAGGTCGCCGTCCCACGTGACCCAGCGGCCCGGGACGTAGCACGTGGAGAGCACGTTCATGAGGATCCCAAACGTCGCGCGCGGGCCCACGGCCCGGCAGGCCGCGCGGCTCGCCTCGAGGCCGACGGCGCGGAAGTACGCCGGGCCGACGACGGCCTCGAACAGCTCCAGCTGGCGGTCCACGCCGTAGATGGCCACCACGCTCGGGATGAACGCGTCGATGAAGAGGCCGTGCGTCGCGCCGCCGAGGGCGACGCGCGACGCCTCCGACGACGCGAGCTTGTTGTCGTCGCTGATGACGCGCAGGTCCGTCTCGCGCATGGAGTAGAGGCGGTCGAAGTCGACGGCGTGGAGGTTCTTACCCAGGCGCGCCAGCGGCCACCACGTGCTCCGCCGCGTGCTGCGGTTGACGGGGGCGACGCGGAGCTGCTCGCGCGCGGCGCGCGGCGCGAACGGCCGGTCCGCGCGCGCGAGGAACGCGTCCATGCCGGCGCACCGGCCCATGTGCACCGGGTCGCCGTAGTCCGTGTCCTCGGCGACCTTGGCGTCGAGCCAGCCCCGGACGTGGTCGAGGTCGACGACGTGGCCCGGGCGCTCGGGGTACGCGTCCGGGAAGAGCGCGACGAAGCCCGCGTTCCGGCCCTCGTAGAGGTCGACCTACGGCGGGTGTTTCTGAGGAGTGGGGGTTGCGCGCGAACACGATCCCCGACGCCGCGAGGCTCGCCGCGCGCCGGTCGAAGTAGGCCCCGTGACCT